TTCTGGGCACCACAATTGAAGGGAGATGTTGACAAGCTGGACATTCTCTGCTTCATTTGGAAGAATGCTGCACTCGCAGAGCTCAGGCGATGTTGCATTTCAGTGTCAATATTGACTTTGGTGAAGAGGTGGCTACCAAGGACAAGGGATATTGACAAACTGGAATGCATCCAGAGGAAGGCAACTCAAATGTTCAAGTGTCTGGAGAACAAGCCCTATGAGGAGTGGCTTGAAGAGTTAGGCATGTTTAGCCTAAAACACCGGGATTGTGGCGTAGCTGGCTGAGTGTCAGCTGCATTAAGATCACTTTTTAGAAAGCTTAGGCTTTCTAAAAATTATCTTGACAATCCTCCTCTAAATCCTGTAAAAAATATAAATTCTGTTGCAGGAAGGCCAGACATTTGACTTTAGGACATCTCCATGAGGAATATTACATTCGGCATTGCTTCCCCACCTTCTCGCTCTGCAATCTCTCGCTGCGTTACCTTGGACAATTCCACATCCAGTGAAGGCATGCTACAAATCACCACCGCTTGCCGGCTGCCTCTACCTTCCTTCCCAGGAATTATGATGATTGTATTTGTCTTCTCCTCGTGTCATGGTGACCCAAGGGCTTTCTCATGAAAATTCTCACTCCCCGCCTAAGCCGAGTGAAATCAGAGAGCTGCCAAGTGAAAATGGAAGCTGATTAATGGCAAAGGAAGGGGGAGAAGAGCAGCACTTGCACAAGCTGTCCGCCGATGCTCAGCTTCTCATCCGCTGTGCTTTGACATGCTCACTGTCAATTAGGGCTACTAACGAAGGGGAAATCAGAGTGCTACCTGCCACACTTACCTGTCATCATGGATATGCATCATTCCGCCTTGAACCAATCCAGAGCTGTAACTCAGTGGCACAGCGTCTTTGTTTGCTGGGTTCAATCCCTTCAATATTGTCTTAGCTGCTGCCCATCCATGTAAACTAAAGCAAGGTATTTCAAAGGCTCAAATTTCATTATGCAACAGCCCCAGGACCAAATGAGGCTGGCAATTTCGTCTTGGCAATGGCAGGGCCTGGTCAAGGCCGGAAAATAGCTGCGGATCAAGAGGAGGAAGCAGAGGCACTTTGCCCTCTCAAGTGGCAGAAATGAAAGCATTAAGAGCAAAAGGTCAGGCAATGCCCTGCTCCGCTTTAAATATGGGACACTGAACTAGCTGGGATGATTAACTACTGGCTCTAAGTTAGAGTAACCATTCTGTGGCTGCAGGACAACAGCTCCCAAACTTCTGCTTTGACATATCTCATTCCCTGGCTTTCTGATCTATGCACTTTTGGATTAATCTTTCCTACTCTCTTATCAAACTTTGGATTGATTTCTCTCTTTGAACTGTGGACTGCTGGGACCAAGCTCCTGTTTTGAACCCCATGCAAGCTTTGGGGTTAACCTCAATGGATGTCCAAAGAACTTCTAACTGTGCTAAGACATGCAGAAGAAGTGGAAAAAGGGAGAAATCACCAAAGAAGAATTCAAACAAATAGCCAACTCCTGTAGGGAAAAGGTCCACAAGGCAACGAGCAAGCTTGTTTTCTGCTGCCCTGGAGACTAGGATGCGGAACAATGGCTTCAAATTCAGATTCCATCTGAACGTTAGGAAGAACTTCCTGACTGTGAGAGCCGTTCAGCAGTGGAACTCTCTGCCCCGGAGTGTGGTGGAGGCTCCTTCTTCGGAAGCTTTTAAACAGAGGCTGGTGCTTTGAATACAATATTCCTGCTTCTTGGCAGGGGGTTGGACTGGATGGCCCATGAGGTCTCTTCCAACTCTATGATTCTATGACCTAGCTCTCCATTGGCAGTGATTATATTATATTATATTATTTATTTATTTATTTGCGACATTTATATGCCACCCTTCTTACCTCGAAGGGGACCCAGAGTGGCTTACAAGATATATATACATACAATATACTATATTATTATTAGCAAATTATAATATCAGTATTAAATATTACTATATTGTATTATACCATTATGTTGTAATAATATTAGTAACATTACATGTAATATAAAATATATAATTATAATATCATACTATTATTATTGGTATTATATTGTATTACATTATAATAAATACAATATATTAGATTATTAGTATAGCACAATATCAGTATTAAATATTACTATACTGTACTATACCATTATATTGTAATATTATTAGTAATATTACATGTAATATAAATATATAATTATAATATATTATTAGTAGTATTATATTGCATTACATTATAATATTATATATAATATATGCATATACAATATATTATATTATAGTACATCATATATTATAGTACATCATATATTATTAGAATAGCACAGGTGGAACTGTCCCCTGGCCCCCTCTCTCTTCACTCTGGCCCAGAGAAGCAGTTGGTACAGGGGGGAGGAGTCCCCAAATGATTCCATATGCAGGAGACAAGATGGAACTGTCCTCTGGCCA